TCCCTTGGGTGCCGGGCTGCTGCTTTTCCCCATCAGGAACAGGGAACATCCCTTTACAGCATAATTCACTCCAGGAAGCATCACCAGCCCCGTATTGCCATACAAGGGCATCTGCTCCCCATTTTAACCTTATTTATCCCTCAGGTCTTATGGAGAATCGCCAATTCTGATTTACACCAAAGCTCCAAGGGTGCAAAGGGAGCAGTGACAGCAACCCACATCCCTTGGGGGGGTAAAACTGCTGCCTGCAGGAGATGCAGGAGCTCAGGGAGGGACAGCTCACCATGGGGCAGCCCACCATAGAATCATATTATGGCCTGGGCTGCAAAGGAGCACAATGCTCATCCAGTTCCAACCCCCTGCTATGTGCAGGGTGGCCAACCAGCAGCCCAGGCTGCCCAGAGCCACATCCAGCCTGGCCTTGAATGCCTGCAGGGATGGGGCATCCACAGCCTCCTTAGTTTAAAACCATTCCCCCTTGTCCCATCAACTTGGCAAAAACCCCCAGGAACCCACATGGCTTTACCCTCACTGTGTGCAGAGCAGTCGGGCTTCCCTTGCTGGGGATCCCTGGTGCAGTGCATGCAGTGAAAGCATTCATGGCCCCCCCCACCCAGGGAGGGTGGGCACAACCCGCAGTGCAGCCATAGGGAACCCTGGGGCTGCTCAGCACCTCTGCTTCCCACCCACTGCACAGGGCTGAGCTCCCCTCCCTGCCAGGGCGCAGCAGAACACAAAGTCATCACCAGCAGCAACAACAATGGTGAGGCTGAAAATAAATCTCCCTGTTCATAGGTGAGGGCTGGGCCTGCTGGAGAAAGGAGCTTTGTCTTTTTCCTGCCAACCAAAGCAATGCAGCACAGAATCACAGCATGGTTTGGGTTGGAAGGGACCTCAAGGATCACGAAGCTCCAACCTGCCTGCTGCAGGCAGGGCCACCAACCTCCACATTTCAGAGCAGCCCAGGCTGCCCAGGGCCCCATCCAACCTGGCCTTGAACACCTCCAGGGATGGACGGGGCATCCACAGCCTCTCTGGGCAGCTGTTCCAGCACCTCACCACTCTCACAGCAAACAACTTCCCCCTCACATCCAACCTCAATCTGCTCTCCCTCACCTTCAGACCATTTCCCCTTGTCCTGCTGTTATCTATGGACCCCTGGACAGCAGGGTGGGCACACAGGGTGAGCATTGCAGAAGCCCTCCTAGCACAGCACTACCAGCAACTCCTCTCCCTGCATCACTTGTGCACACACTTGTGCACACAGCCCATGGCACATGCGCTGCTCGTGTGAGCTGCGGGGATGAGGCACTGAGCTCAGTGGGGTGACCTGGGGCTCTCAGATGGCTTTTCCAGCCTTCACAACGTGATGATTCTAATCCAGTTGCTAACACCTCGCTTGGCTCTCATAGAAGAGGCAGTGCATCGTTCCCCATCCATCATTTCTAAGCACCAAAGACAGAAAGTGCCGTTCAAAGCCCCGTGGCACAAAGCCCCCAGCTGGCACCAGTCTGTCCCCACGCTCAGCCCCTGCACGGCCCCATGCTGGTGAGCAGCGTGTCCCACCACGGCCACGGGACAAACACATGAGATGCAGGATGAGAACCACAGCACCTGGAGTGCAGGGGGCAGAAATCAAGCAGTCCTTGTGCTCCTGGCACCCCGCGGCCCCCAGCTATAGGGGTACAGGGTGGGCTCTGAGCTGCCTGCAATGGGTGCCCCCAGCGCACAGTGTGCCACGTGTGGGGCCACCAACAGCCCACTGCCCCCGGCGCAGCGCCATGGCAACACTGTGACATGGTGACACACAGCCCTGGTCCCCCACCTGGGGCTGCACAGCTGGAGGAACCCCGCCATGGCAGCTTCTGGAGCACAGATGCTCCTACGAAGCGCTCAGGCGCTGATGAAGAGATGCCAGCAGCGAACCGTGAGCTCTTTGTAACAGCACGCTTTGCAACAGTTGATTAGCAGCAGGAGTAAATCAAATTCAAGTGCCCATTAGCTCCGTTTAGAGCCAGACCACTTCATTTACGTGTAAGCCAATTACGGACTACCAGCTTCCAACAACAGCAGAGGTTTCAGGCTGTGTTCTCAAAGCGCCTGGTGCTGTATGGGCACAGAGATGGGGAGGGGAGGGGTGGGAGGGGATGGGATGGGATGGCTGTGAGCTGAAGGAGGGAGGCTGGGTGGGATGTGAGGGGATGCCCTTCACCCCGTGGCACTGCAGACCCCATCCCTGGGGGAGCCCAAGGCTGAGGGTGGGCATTGGGACCCTGAGCTGAGCGCACACACGTATGGTGGGGGTCCCAACTCAACAGTTCTGCAGCTCTGTGATAAATGGGATCCCATCTCCCATTTCCATGCCATCCAATCATACAGCTGTCAATTCCAGAAAACACCTCCAACATCACTGGGGGGTTCGGACCGGATGATCTTGGAGCCATTCTGTGACCTCACCCTGCTGCCCACCTCCCTCAGTGCCACATCCCCACGGCTCTGGGACACCCCCAGGGTCGCTGACCCCCCCAGCAGCCTGTGCCAGTGCTGGCTGCCCTTTGGAGAAGGGATTTCCCCAGTACCCAACCTGACCCCATCACCTCTCATCCAACCTGGGGGCAGAAGCCAACCTCCCCTCCCCAGCCCCCACATCCTTCTCCCGGCCCCAAATTCAGGTTTCTCCCACCTCTCCTTGTCTGAAGGAAAAAACAACTTCTTCTTCTGCTTAGTCACAGATTAATTATGTGCTGGCAGCCTTACAGATCTAAACGCAGGCAATGCTGAGCAGCCTTAATCCCGTGCTATTTCCCCCTTCCTGCAGTGGCTGCAGCTCTGAGCGCTCCGGCGCTGCTCAGCTGTGGGACATTCCTGACGTTCCCCTGCTTGCTGTGTTCCTGTGCTCCAAGAACTGCACACGTTCAGGCACAGGAGCTGCAGAAATCGGAAGGGATGAATTCATCTGACCTCAGAACGTGGCCTTTTGGGGATACAGAAGCACTGGGCCATCAGAGCAGCGTGTGACTGGGACAGCATCCCCATCCCCATCCATGCTATAGGGCATTCAGGGTAGGACTCACCCCAAGCCGTGTCCTTTCCTAAGTGGAAAAAGTAGGTTGCTTAAAAATAGGCCTGGAAGCCAAGCCAACACAGGCACCCAAAGCTACGTCCGAAGCATAAACAAGCAGGGAGGATTTGTGTACAGAACCCACAGCCAGGGTAACGTAATGCCTGTAATGACTTCCTTCTGCTCCTCCAATGTTTCCATACCTGCTGGAGGCACGGCCTGAGGCTGCCAGAGCCCCACGGTGTGCAGCCCAGCATCACCCTGAGGGCAAATGGCTTTAAAGTGAGACGGGAGGTTTAGGTTGGATATGAGGAGGAAGTTTT